GCCCGCCGACCACCGCCCCCCGGGGACGCCCCGGCCGCCGGGACAGGCCCGCGCCATCTGGGTGCCGCCCCTTGTCCTTGTCCGCCGGTCGTGGGACAGACGGCGGCATTCATGGCCCGGGTGACAAATGCGAGACGTCGCCCCTCCCGCCGGAGCCCTCGGGGAGCGTCGGGTGAGGCTGCTGTGGGCCGTTTGTGTCTGTCCCGGGCGGGAAGCGCGTGTAGCGCCCCGTGGGAGCGTTGGCCAGTGCTGGGACCCCACTGGGGAGCCAGGTGCAGAGCCCCACTTGTCTGAGCCCTGCTCCAGACGCCCTTTACTAGCCACAGACAGGGAGGCGGCGGGAATCGGAGGCCACCCCTGCCCAGTCACGGAAGAGTAAGGGCGCCCTCCTGGGCCTGGGGGCTCAGGTAACGGGCGCACCCCACTGAGCCCGGGGGCAGCCCCGGCAGCGGCCTTTCTCTCCGCGGGCTCTCCCCGCGCCAGGCAGTCCCGACCAGCAGCACACCCCAAGACTCGGGTTTGGCTCCGCGGGCTGTGGCCAGTGGGTCCCTGCGCCTGCGTTAGTGGAGACTCTTGAGTGTCACCCACACGTGTCCTGGCTCTCCACGGCAGGGGACCCGCCTGGAGAGGAGGAAAACGGGCTCCGGGCAGCCCTTGGCGGGGAGACAGGCTGGCGCGGCAGGGTGGCCGCCGCGACTGTGGGGTGGCCCGGCTCTCCCCGCGGGGTAACGGAGCGTCATGGCGAGACACGGCCGCGGCGTCAGGCCGGCCCCTGTCCGGCAGGTTCCACGGGGACGGCTTTCGGGAAGGCTACGAGGAGGGCAGCAGCCTGGGCCTCACCGAGGGAAGAAGGCACGGCGCGCTGCACGGGGCCAAGGTCGGATCCGAGGTGAGTGGACTGGTCTCCGGAGACGCCGGCTCTGCGCTGGGCCTCGCCGCCTGTCCGGTCGGTGGGTCGCGGCTGTTGCTGAGCCCCCGGCAGTGGCAGGCAGCTGGGGGGCCGCAGGCG